AAAAACTTACTAGAAGAAAAAAAACTTTTAGAAGTAAAAAAAATATTATTCAGCATAAAATTTTGATTGGTTTCCATCTCATTGTTTTTTTTAAAAATCGATAATGTGATTGTATCAATTTTAAACGCCCTAAAATTAGCTAAATCGGCGCTTTTACGGTGATTGCGCAATATGGGTGCCCTATGACCTTTGACTTTTTACGGGTCATGCTGCTCAGGCGCTAGGCGCCCTCCCCACGTCGGCCGTCCGTCTTGTGGGCAAATTTCTACTTTTTTAGGGGTTTCGGGACCTAAAAACTAACACCAGAGGGAAAATAAACCACATACGTTTTATTCATGGTAAATATCGCTGAAATGGACCAGGCATTTTTCTGCCGCGTTGCCGATTTTGACAAGGACTTGCGGCCGCCATGTGCTATTACGTCGATTAGCTACTCGCCTTCCCCTTCGGTTTTGTGGGCAAATTTTTGCTTTTTCAGACGTTTTGGGGCTTAAAAATGGACAGCAGGTGAAAAATAAATAATATACATTATATTCATGGGAAATGCCGCTATCATGGACCAAATATTTATCTGTGACGTGTTGCCGAATTTTGCGGCCGCCGGCCACTTGCTGATGGTGCGGTACGTATGGACAATTTTTTCCCCAAAAATTAATAAACGTACCGTCCCTAATAAGAGTGTACCGGGTGGACGTTCGGGCCGAAAAAAATAAACGTACCGGTACGTTTAATCGGGACATCAGAGTAATGATAATTTGATGGTTCCCGGGGAGGAGCACTGTCACCTTTCTTGAATAGGTTTGCCCCGCCCCGGGGTGAGTGCCGGCAGAGGTTGGGTTTGGTGGGAAAAAAAATTCAGTGCAAAAGAGAAACCCCGATAAAAAAGCGTAAAAACATGCTAGAAATGCCCCCAAAACCCAAACCTCTGCTTGGAGAGTAAAAATGGCATGCCTTGCCATGTTGGAACGTGTATGGCAGAGAGGAGACAAGACAAGGCTCTGATTTATTGTTTTTGACTGCTACTTTGATGCAGTGATGTATTTGATTCCTTTTATACATGTATGTTTCCACTGAATCAGAACCATGATTGAAACATAATTGAAAACTTTTCTTTTTCCAAGTTGTTTCAGTGACTACTTGTTGGTAGCTTTTATATCTAATTAATTATAACTCTGTACTGTTTTATCGCTGCAGGTCCTTGCTACGGGTCTGAGTGGGCTGTACTCCTCCCTACCCAGGAAGATAGAGATCAGATCGGATGACTGGCACGCTCTACGGAAGGAAGATTACGTCAACGCCCCAGCTTTACTCATGTTTCTCAACTCTCTGGAGTTCTGCAATGCAGTAGCACAGGTGAGATAGGCCTCCAAATTAACTTCTCTTCCCATTGTCCCAGCACGTACTGTCCCAAAAATAAATTTCAATTGTCCCGAAGTAAGGATGAACTGTCCCAACCTTTTTGGGGCGGAAGTATTGTATGACTTCAACTTGAAGTCAACCTTATTTTGCTTATGTTCACTCCCAGGCGCACTATTATATTATTGCAGTGCAAAATTTCAGGGGGACTTTTCCGGATCTAAAAGCTGGGACATGTGCCTCAGATAAACAAAAGAAGGGCTGACATTCTGATGTTTACTATTTTTCTATTGTCCCAAAAATGTCCCAATGTGTCTTTTTAGTTGTCCCAGCCTAAATTTTAGTGGTCAGTGGCCATTGGACCACCTTTGATTTTGAGCCCTGTGAGACAGTACGCACTTCATTCAGGTGGGTGAGTTAAAGGTGTGGTTCCAGGTATAATTTACTAGGCAGACAGTAGGGAGGGTGTGAGAGACATTACTGTAAGTTCCTTTACCTTTGCGTTGTTTTAACTTTGTAGGAGGAGGGAAAACAAGGTTTTTGTGTTGTTTTATGATTGCGATTGAAAGAATTCTGATCTGAGTGTATACTATTAGTGTATAAAACATGTTTTAATTTTACAGTAAGAGGTCCCTGGAAAAAATGCAAAAATAAAACCACTGCAAAAGTTTCTGCGTTTACAGTATTGTTGGCAAGGGGAGGGATTGTTATGGATGATGTCCTAGACTTGAGGAATTTAGAATATTTCATTTGTGTGAGCACTTTTTGTCAACAATTCTACTAACTGTAATAGTAAATATGTTCTGTTACATATATTAGGTAATACAAATCATTTCAATATGGAAACTTTCCTTTACAAGGAATCAAGGATACATACATGTAGCAGCTTTGTTTTTCTCTTTCTCTCTGACATGGCATATTTTTCCAATGGTTGTGGGTACAGAGTTCTAATTGGTTATTGCTCCCAACCCAAGAAAACAGTTACTCAAGCAACTGGATAGATGTTGAAAACTGTCAGATGTTTGAAGTAGCAACCATTGCTTTTCAGCGAGTCTGTACTGTTTTATTCGAAGTAGTGATTCTAGTACTCCCCATGGTACGTAATGTCTTCAAGGGCAAAGTCCTGGAATCCATTTGTGTGGTCTAGGCCTTTCTGATAGGCCATGGCCTTCTGTCAAATAGACCTCAGAATGCATTGATTTTAGATATATGAAACCAGGAGAAATGTATGTGTACCTGTTAAGGCATCTTGTGTATATGTGTGAATGATGATGAAATTAACCTTAGGCCACACCAATTTAATTTCTTGGTTAACGGATTTTTCTACAAAAATAATGGAGCGGGCGGGCGAAAAAATAAAAAAATAAAAACAGACCTAGACATCCTATTATGGCCCAAAATGGTACGATAGGAGCTATGAAGTCAACACACCAGGCTGGTTCAAAACAATGAATTTTGAACTTTTAATGATACCATTTCATTGAAAGATGGAATAACTGTAGCAACTATGATGAAAAGGAATGTTTTCAACTGTTCAGGCCAAAATATGAGCATTTTGCAGTTGATTCTGAATTTTTATTTTAATTTGCAAATCAGAAAAAAATGAAGCGGGCGAATCCGTTAACCAAGAAATTAAATTGGTGTGGCCTTAATGTAAAAAACAATCTCTAATTCATTCAAGCACCAACCCAATGAGAACCTATAATTTCATACACAATGCCACGTTTCTCTTAAGCTGTACCAAAGCAGGAATGGCATTAACATGCCCCCATCCTTGTTACTAATCAAATGTCAGGGAGGTAGACTTTGTTTTGACTTTAGTGAAGCGAAAACCAGCAAGCACCGCAAGAGACCCTTCCCAACAGTAGTGCTATACATATACGCAGGGCTCGAAATACTGGGTGCATGTGCACCTTATAGTGCACCCAAAATTGGAGCTGTACACCCAATTTTTTTTCTGTGGGTGCACCAGTGCACCCAAATATTTTTGTAGGTATTTTTGTACATATCAAATGTATAATAGTATACAGGATATTCTTGGCATCTAAGTGTCAGAAAAACAATAAAATCTTTGTTAAACTTAAAGTACTTGTTTAAGATTTTGAAGTTAGCTCCCTTTTCAGATGTTTTGTTGGTGCACCCAAAATATTTTTGTGCACCCAATTTTCTAGGTTGGGTGCACCAGTGCACCTATTCCTGAAAATGAATTTCGAGCCCTGCATCTACGGTATATGTTACCCTTGGTGCTAAGTGACCTGAATAGTGTAGACCAGGGAACTAGAGTGTGTAGATATTCCAGATGTTGTACTGTGGAGATTTACTACTTTTTCCTTCTTTTTTAAGGTTTCCACGTTCCTTTTTTAGGCCATACCAATTTAATTGTTGGTTTGCGGATTCACCCGCTTCATTTTTTCTGATTTGCAAAAAAAAAAAAAATTCAGGTTCAAAATCAACTGAAAAATGCTCATTACATATTTTACCCCCAGACAGTTGAATACAGTCCTTTTTCTTCCTAGTTGTTACAGTTTTTCTATCTATCAGTGCAAGGTTTGAAAATTAATTTAGATTTTAAACCAGCCTGGTATGTTGACTTCATGGCTCCTATCATGATCATAGGATTTTGAGCTATGATATGATTTATTTATTTATTTTTTTGCTTTGTCGCCTCATATTTTTCCAACAAATCAAATTGGTATGGCCTTACCCTTATGAAAAATGGACTTGAGGTACATGTATAATAATTGTTTTTGGTTACTGGTCAGTCTATTTGTGTGTCTGTCTGTGTGACTGCATTTTTTATTATTTTGTGGACAGCATAACTTAACTGGATAAATGTGATATTGAGTTAAATGATTTCACTGTGGTTTTATTTTACAATATGAGGGAAAATGTGGTTTTCACAGCTTTTAGTATAAAAACCCACAAAATATAACCACCGGCACCACAAAATTTTCACTTGCCCAAAATATGACATATTTCTACGCATTTTAGTTTACTTGCAGAAAGGAAATTATTTTATTTTTTAAATAAAAGGCACTTAAAAGTTTATAATGTTGCTTGCTTTATGTACCAAAATCTAAGGGTACTTAAAGACTTTCTGACAAAGGACATATTTTTGACTGGTATCAAATTGAATATAATATCTTTATTTGAAAATGATGTGTAATTTTGCTCCAAACACTGCATCCAAAAAATTTACTTGCCCAATCGGTCAAGTACAAGGGGATATATTTACTACAATGCCCGAACAGTGCTTTTACTTGGTCTGGGCAAGTGGGCAAGTGGACTTGTCCAACCCTGCATTCGTTGCTAAACCTTCAGGTCTTCTTGTGCCATCTGTGTTGTCCACCTGAGCTTTGTGACCTTTCAGCAGTATGAATTATTAACAACTGCTGCACGAAACCATCTGGTAGATACTCAAAGCACACCATTTGTCATCAAGCCTATCAGGCCATTTGAAGGTGTTTCCAGATCTCTCTTCAGGGCAAAATACATTTCACTGATTGATTCTGAAGTGGTAGTTCAAATTCAATCCGTAGGTTCTTAAAGTGATAGCCATACACTTCAAAATCTCATTTTAAGGCCACACCAATTTAATTTCTTGGTTAACGGATTCGCCCGCTTCATTTTTTTCTGATTTGCAAATAAAAATAAAAATTCAGAATCAACTGCAGAATGCTCATATTTTGCCCTGAACAGATGAAAACAGTCCTTTTCTTCCTAGTTGTTACAATTATTCCATCTTTCAATGCAGTGTTATCATTAAAAGTTAAAAATTCATTGTTTAAATTTTGAACCACCCTGGTGTGTTGTCACTTTATATGGCTTCTATCGTACCATTTTGGGCCATAATAGGATGGATGCCTAGGCCTGTTTTTATTTTTTTTTTTGCCCGCCCACTCCATTATTTTTCTAGGAAAATCCGTTAACCAAGAAATTAAATTGGTGTGGCTTAAGGTAAGAAATAAAGCACAGATACTGAGATAGTTAACTTTGGCCCAAAGCCAGGATTTTGCTGGGGGGGGGGGTCTTCCTTCTATCTCAGAGAAAATGTAAGAAAAATTTTGCAAAATTTGAAAATTGAACCGCATGAAATGGTATTTCCTGCATTTTTGAGAGGATTTCTATTTCAAAAGAAAAATCAGGGACACAATACACAAGTGAGCAGTTTTTCTAAGGATTTCAGTCCTGCTGGTGATACAAATTAGTCCACTTTTTAATGAAAAATGTTGGACCTTTAGATAAAAAGTGGACCTTTGAGTTTTGAGCT